CACCACTTTAGTTGTTCCTCGAATCCTCTCGTTTCTAATCCTATCAAACTTTGACTAAAGCTAATTAACGAGTATAGTTGGCCTTAACTCTTTTGGTGATCACAGTTTTAACTATCAGTAACTACAAATAACAGTAGTAATAATATGTAGAGAGCTACTGTGATGAACAACCAATAATAAATTTCTAAGCTGAATGTGCTCCAAAAATGTTTTCACTTTTATTTTCTTGAAATTTGGAGGATAAAAATATGTAAGTTTAAGTCCCAAACTTTAAATCTAAGAACTTCCAAAAGATTGTTTTGTAGAGAATATACACAAATATTCAAGCAAACAGAAAAACCAATGAAAAAAAGCAGGTGTTATGAAACGTACATCTACGAGATTAAGTTTCAGAATTAATTTTCACAAAAGATTAAAGCAAATGTAAATAAATGTAGTAAATTTTAGTTAATTTCAAGCTAAGAATATCATGCCTTAATTTGCAGTTGTAACAGTAGACATCTTAGTCACCTTTAAGCTAGAAGTTGTGTTAACGTTTGGGCTGGGTGATCATGAACATCCTATAATAGTAAACTAGTATTCACTTCTAAATAAACTTTAATAACCGCACAGTATTTAAATAACAAACATATTCACCAATAATATGGAATCTCTCTACACTTGGTTTGGTTCAGAAATACAAATTATTTATTTGGATATGTTGTAACAAAGTACTAATATGTACATTAGTGTATATAAATATATATGTAAAAAATAACGATATACAAGACGTACAAAAGCGACAACTACTCATACTCTCCAACTTCTACCTCTTCATCTGGAACACACTGAAAACAAAATAAGATCCAATAATAAAAATTTAATTCACAACTCAAACTCAACAGTTTTTTAAATTATCTATGAAATAAATAATATTGTAACCTTAAGATATTATTTTATTAAATTCTTGGTTGCTTCTACACGGACATAAATATAAATTAAATTTTAAATCGTCACAACACTTTGAATTAAAATTTAAAATACATACTTACATTATTTAAAGAAGGTTTCTCAAATTATTTTAGTTAAATTGAAAAACAAACGTATTTTTAAGCTATTAGATAGACTTACTAGCTTTTTTAAACATTGTTCTAAACTACTGTGTATCTAAATGCTTACAGGTCCATGAACATTGATTTTTACACACTACTGTATTTGTGTAAGCAGCTGTGTTAATACATTGTTACTGTAGACAACACTCTTCTGTGAATTCGTGTCAATGTCTATGAAAACATTATATTCACAAGTTAACATGACCCTCTTTTAGCTATAAAGAGCTTAAGTAATACAATTACAAAATATGGGTGGAACCTTAAAATCATCTGCCAATCAAAGTAAAATATTAGTTCATGAACTACTCAGCATAACATTACAATATTTAAAACTGTTGGACTTATCGAACAAGATCCGTATGGTTAAAAATACATCAATGTATCAACCAATTTTATTATAACATTAGGTTTATGGAAATAATTCATACAAACAAGATTTTAATACACATATTCTTCAACTCAAGAACCAGATACTGCTTACTGGTTAGCACGTCATATATATATATATATATACAGTGGGTGCTGAATGGCTTTCCCCTCTCTGAACACCACTTCTAAATGAATAATGGCTACGCCTAGTCATTTAACTTATGTTTTACTATTGTGTTGCTTAAAGGTGACATTTGGGTTGAATATACCAACGATTACATTGAATTTCATTGTATACAAATTTGTAATGGCTATGCCTAGTCATTTAACTTATGTTTTACTAATGTGTTGCTTAAAGGTGACATTTGGGTTGAATATACCAACGATTACATTTATTTCATTGTATACAAATTTGTTACTATTAGTTCCAATATCACAAAACAACGAAGAAAAAAAGTTATCATCTAAAACACACTTTCATGTTACCACCACTAACTAGCAAACTACAATATAAAAAAAAAGTAAGTATATTTCCAACTAAAAATTAAAACCCTTCAAAGTTCATATTCTGTATTAAACATTTTACAGCTGAAAAATATTGTTCAGATCAAACTTCCCCATTTCAGTTCCCTCAATTTTGTTTCTTTTATGGAATAAAAATAATAGAAATTACATTTACTTACATAGTATTCAACAAAACATACGTGTTCATCTTCGGTTTTAATCATGTACTGCAGACATATGATTCCTTGTTCATCTGTTCGAATAGAGATCTTTAGAGACTGGATTAGAGCCTTAAGAGAGGGTTTAAGTAGCGAGATTTTATACCTAAAAGGAAAGAATTCTGTATTTGAATTTTTCTTCTGCAGTTCGTTTCTCTAGAATTTTAGTCGAAGTGCTCATTTATTATTATTTGATGCAACAAGCAGTAAGAAATCTATTTGAGATACGAATTATTTTTTCATACTATTTGAAATAACTGGGCATGAAACATCTATTAGACACATAATGTACATAACTGTATCTAATTAATTAATTAATTACTTTTCCTATCATATCCGTCACGTCTACTAATCATTAGATTTTACTGTTGTTATTAAAATGCCAAGGTAATGTGCCCTACAGATAAAGATTACACTCAGCTTTAGAACACATTAACGGAACAAATTTCATTCAGTCTCCAGCCTGAAGTTTCTTTGTTTGTTTTGAATTTTGTGCAAAGCTACACGAGGGCTATCTGCACTAGCCATCACCACCCACTGCCAACTCTTGGGCTACTCTTTTATCAACGAATAGTGGGATTGACCGTCACATTATAATGCTCCCATGGCTGAAAGGGCAAGCACGTTTGATGTGACGGGGATTCGAATCCGTGACCCGGAGCTTGCGAGTCGAGCACCCTAACCACCTGGCCCAACCCAGCCTGAAGTACTGGTAACAGAAGCTGCATGTAATGTTTTCAACAGTTACAAAAATATTATTATTTCTTATTATTTCACCTAAATAATCATTAAAAAGACAAAACACTAATATAGGTTTCTAATCTTTTGAATTCATTGAGTTAAATCACACCATCTCTGCTCTTCCTATCCTCCATACCAAACTTTCATTCAAAGTAACACTTTCTTTAGTAGCATTTTTTCACTTTATCTTAAGATTAGTGAATTTGGTCTTTTTGTGTAAAACAAAAGGCACGTGACACAGTGTGTAATTAATGAAATGCAGTTAATTGTTATAAGTCTTTAAATATTACAAATTTAGGTAAAATTAAAAACATAAGTAATTATGCCGTATCGGGAAAAAAATGTCTTTGGTTTTTTCTTTTTCAGAACATAAGTAAATCGTTTTAAACATTTCTTTGGAAGTAGTCATTAGTAAACTGATAGCATGACTACTGTGTATTTCTTACAGGTTCGAGCACTAATTAGTGGAAACTATGAATGATTCTAGCAGTAAAATATATTGTTGGATGGCAGAATTTCTCAATGGTTCTAATAATTCAACATGTGCTTAGCTACAGAACTTGCGGTTAGTCCTCTAAGTTAACCCTTCTGCTACTGGTAGGTCAAAGTGTATGTCATGACATTTTTAGAGTATTACATTCAAAATTTAATTAAACTACTTGATTATCATTTTATATAAACAAACTAATTCTAATTTTAATATTATATAAGTTTTAATTTATTAATTTTATAAGAAATTATTTTATAAAGTCCTAAATCTACCCTGGTATGATAATTCTGACGTTTGCTCTCTAGATATCCCCTCTTCTCTAATTTATTTACCACCCCTCTAAGAAGTATGGAATTTAACTTAATTACTCATTATAATATAGATATTACTGAAGCAAAGCATAATTTTTATAGCCTTCAATCTTATTTGTTTATGGAGTCATAAACTAGAAAATGAGACCCATTTACCATGCCCACCTGTCACATCTTCTCTTTCACAAATTGCCAATATTTCTCTCTGAACGAATAGAAAGCCTTAATCTATCAAATGATGTATCATGATAAGTTGTATTCTGTACAGAGTATTGTCTATTTCATCTTCAGTTTGTAAGTTTCTCTCAATGTGTCTAAATCAACAAGCTTAGTTAAATTTTAAAGGCTCTTTTGCCATAGTTAGGAAGTCAGATAAATAAATCATGATAGTTATCGGGGATTGTTTGCTTTGTGCATGTTATTATTCTGTGTTCTTAAGTGCATTATTTAAGAAAATAAAAACTTAATTTATGAACAATATAAAAAAAAATTAGGCTTAAAGTCCAACAGCAACACATTCCATAAACCAAACACATTCTCAAAGAAGGACTCACCAAAACTAAAGACGAAGGTTTACAGCTAATACACCAATAATGATACCTTGCATCTTTATTTAAGAAAACGAGATATTAAACAATAAAAGTGTTAGAAGAAAAAAAAAAGAAAGAGAGAGAGAGAGAGAAATTACTATGCTTAGTTAAATACCTGTTTGATTGTGTCTGGGTACACTGGAAAGATTCCACCATATCAGAGTCCTTAGAATAGTCCACCTACAACGAAATTATAAGCTTGAATAAATCTTTTTAGGGTTTATCTCACAACACCAAACAATTCAGGAGAAACTAGCGTCAGTATAGATTTCAAGTTTAATAATTTTTTTTCACTTGTAAGAAACAGACTATTACATTTTATTGTTTTATACTTCAGCTAATTCGATAAATATCATAAGAAATTATATTTCTTATTCAAAGTGATAATATTTCTATCTTTCTTATAGCAAATTCACTGGTCATATATAGGAAGAAATTGTTTAAAAGCTGATTCTAATTGCACTCGGCTGATTTTTCATTACTGTTAAATTTCTCTCAAGTGTTATTAACAACTGGTACTAAAGAGTACTAATAACCTTTAAACTACAAGTGCATTCACCACACTACTGCTGGGAATAGTATATGCATTATGTGGTGTGGCACTGTCTGATTTTTTGTTGTGTGTATTTATTTTATAAAGTAAGTGTGAACAGAATAACTCGAGAGTAAAGAATAAAAAAATACTGCTTTAATCTATACAGATTAAAAACTAGTACAAAATTCTGTTTTGTTTAACGTTATCGTGATTATTATTTTTAATTACCAGATTCCTTGTTCCTATAATTTATTTGTTGTCTGAAGATATAAAAGTTTTACTTTCTAACCGTTTGTGAAAAATCAGTTACTTTTAAAGCAAAATCTGTCTTCACAGGACTGGTGTTTTGATACATTCGCAGTTGTCTTCCCTCGAGGTTCTTCATCGGGATCTAGGAAGGTGAATGCATGTGTGGCAAAACATAAACTGTGAGCTAATTAACCTTCTAAGCACGGGTCTATCATTTTACGTGAGCATTGAAATTATGATGTTTTACATACTAGAACTCAATTTGGCAAGTTTGGCTCAAGAGAGCCATTGAAAGACTGAAACTGTAAATAAGCTCTTTCTACTGGTTATAAACATGTATGACACACAAGAGAATGTGGTTTTGGAAACTGTCTTGAAAACCAAGGACAGATGAGTGGGCTTCAGTCGTGGGTTGGGAAAATGTATTTGTATTTCAACAGAGGGAGAAGTTAGGACATTAAAACTGTACATTATACCTAGAAATTGATTTAAGATTGTGTCTAGGATAAATTAGATAGTGTAGATGCTATAATACTGAAGTCACACAAACTAAAAGAATTCAGAACACATGACACATGATGTTAAATATTAAAAGTTAAATAATATAAAAATTTGAATTATAACCTGTACTCTGATGCTTATTTTATTGACATAAATTGATGATAAAGTTGTTTAACTAAATTTTGAATGCAACTCTGTAAAACTGTATTTAAAGGATTAAGTAACAATGTTAAACTACTCACATGAATAGTGCCAGCATTTCCGAATGTCGACAACCTAAAGTAAGGTTTATCAGGTGACATAACAATCTGAAGTATCTCACTCGTCATATCCAGGTCACTCCAGGCCTCCCGTAAAATTTCTGACTGGATAAGAAAAAAAAAAACACTTTTAACATTCAACAAACTGTACAACAAGAAATTCAAATCATGGTGCAACTGTTACATTGAAGGATCTTGAAATTGTCTTATAATAAAAGTTTGTAATATTCATTCACAAAAGGAGAATGAGTATTAATGGGGAGGACATCATATGGATCCCAGGCCATGATATATGATACCATGCATACACATACAGCTCCAGGCTCGGCCCCACTGAAGATTTGAAAGATGGAAGACCACTATATAATGTGTTGATTTGATGATTAAGAAACTGGTGTTATTAAACTAAGACATCAATAATATGTATACAGATCATTCACTTACATTCATTCTGAAAGTAGACAATTTCTTCTTTCAGTACATCTTATGACATATGTGCAGTCTTTGAGTTACAGTGACATTAACAGAAAATTTTTTATAATTTGTTTTAGAACTTATACATTTTTTGTTTGAAATTCAAATCGATTTGCTTAACTCTGTTAGTGTGGTATTGCTAGGCCTAACTTGCAAAGATTGTTAAAAATATTTCAATTTATAGAAACTCTATTCCTAAAAATTAAAAGGGAATTCAAATAACAACCAAGCTCTGGATATTAAAATAAAATAGTTAGTTAGCACTGAATGGATAGTAAAATAAAATTTGAACATCCTGACTTATTAATTAGTCTCCATTTTTTTCATTTTCTGATCTTGTGATTTATTTTGTTAAATCTGTTTTACTACTCAAGAAAACAATGCAATGCCAAAATAAGACTGACGTACTACAATTAGTACAGTTTTATTGTTTGTTTATTGAACTTTACACAATGCTACTCGAAGATGACTTGCAAGAGCTGTCCCTAATTTTAAAATGATAGACAGCTAGTCATCACCACCCACCACCAACTACTCTCTACCAACAAATAGTGGGATTGACTGTAACATTATAATGCCTCCCATGGCTGAAAGAGTGAGCATGTTTAGGGAGAGGGTTTTGATCTTGTGACCTGCGGATGAGTTGAGCACTCTAAATAGTAAACCATGCCAGGCCTACAATTAACAATAATGCAGAAAAAAAACCCAACAAAATAACTACGGAGAACAACATCCTTTCAACCACCTAATCTTCTGTTTCTAAGAAAAATTACCTGGAAAGCAGGAAGAAATAAGTTATAGTAATTCATGACACAAAGTAAATGTTTTAAGACAATTTCCTTGAGAAACTTTTTGTAGTGGTTAGAGCAAAAATAAAAGTCATGTTTACAATAAATTAATAGTTTAGTTTTATTCTCTAGTTTTTGAATTGAGTAAAATTAACCTGAAATTGTAAATTCAAGAAAAATACTTCAGATGGTTATGATTTAGATATCCAGTTCAATAATTTTAAGGCCTTAGTTAAATTCAGTGATGAACACAGTCTCCACATAAAATGTCTGCAGTTTACTCAGTTATTTTTTGCTTAAAATTTTTATGTAAAGCCATATAAGGGATACCTACACAGCAGATTAACCAGACAGCCCAACTGCTTAAAATATAAAATAAAGGATTACACAGAAACATTTTCAATAACCACCTTCATTATCACTTTATTGACAACATTTTCTGGAGAAAACTGGAAATCCAAAACCTCTTCTGTTTCTTGTGTCTTAATACGGCAGTCAGTCAACACACCCCCTTCTTCAAGTCTTAAAAGAGAAAATTTTTATAAATTAGTTTTTAATTCATTTAAACATAAAACAGCCTTAAAAAAGAAAATATGTTTGTCAATAATCCTATGAATAAAACAAGAAATTACATAATAATAATAATAATACAACAATTTTCCAGCTTTCAAAACATTCAATAGATTTCGAACAAATTTGTTACTTTTGTGGATAACTTATGAAACTTAGATTGCATGAACTGATACATTTTCTTGGAAAAGTAAAAATGAAATAAGCCAATTAGAGATGGGCAGTTAGTGCAATTTACTAATCAATTAGTCACTGGGCTCATTAATCAATTATTCTCATGACACTAAGATTCGTATTTTCAGCTTGTTAGAGATCGATACTTAGAGAAACCGTTACACAAACAAGATTCTGGTATATTTTCTACTAATAAAACAGAAACAAGCATTAAGAACAGTTTCAAATTCTGTGTCTCGTGAAAACAAAATCTTGGAAGTAACGTAAAAAAATACTGAGAAGCAACATCCACTAAGGATTATTTGAAAAAGTAGAGTAACAATGACAAAATTAAAATCACAAACATCTTTTGATATTTATTATGATCATAATGATATTAGATTTTTTTCTGATATAACTTCAAGTTAGTTGGACAGAATTATGTTCTATGGATGGGTTCATTATGAAATTTGCTTGTGTGAATAACAGGAGTGAAAAACATCATCGAACAATAAACATAGGATTACTATGTCTAGACTAGAGTGTGAGTGACTGACTGGTGAGCAGAATCCTATCGTCCACGAAGACCTGAAGACCCAACGAGCAAAGATGACGTGAAAAGCATAACACTCCACAAAACACATACAGATCTGAAAAAAGACAGTCTGTTAGTGCCCAGAATGGGAAGGCAAAACTCACCAAGAGGAATTGAAGAAACAGATGTGACACTGGGGTGTAAAATCCCCCCCCCCCCAAGTGAGTGGTGGGACTCCATGGTGAAGCAAGGCGACTGCAGATAAGTATACACCCAGGAAAGATCAAGAAATGGACTTTAAACTCCTGTGTGTAGGAAGAAAAACGAAGACTGAAGTAAACTCCTGGTTGAGTTGGCTCCACACATTAGATAGCTCTGTTGTGCAGTGGGACATAAACAGACTGAACTAGACAAGATACATTCCTGAGGAGGATGGGAGGAGATCTGGGAAGTGAGTAGAGGGGGAGCAAAATGGAAGTCAGAAACGCTCTTAGAGAACCAATAAAAATAATGAAACTGTCATGAAGTAAAGCCAATAAGACACATAAACTAAAGAAACTGAAGTACACAGAACTAATGAAAACTTAGAAACATGTAGTCTACAAAGAGCTTAAAAGTAACACACCTGCAAAACTAAGAAAATCGACCTAAAACAATAAGTAACACCTAAAGTATAAAACCACTAAAGGGCCTGGTATATAAGATAACTGGCCCTTAAACATAGAACATATAAGTCGACTCAAAAACAAAGGACACAAAAAGAAAACTAAAGAACATAAGAATAAAAAAGCAACCAGTGAACAAAAATAAAGGTTGACTCAAAATTTATCCCCAATTAGATGTGACTAGTAGTAAAGATACAAAAAAAGGAACTTATAACTAAATAACATTAACAGTGAAAAAAATTTAAAACATTAAACCAAATTAATGCAAGAAACAAACTCTAAACACAAGTTGTAAACTAAAGTAACCTAGATGGTAATACAAGTATAAAATTCAACTTACACAACACCAAAATGACATAAATTATCAAGTGTGGAAATCAGATACATAAACACAAGCTCACATAAACTCATTGAACATGGGTATATCTACGGAGAGTGAGAAATTTATACTGAGAAACTTACCATAGATCTCCTGGAAAAAAAGAACAATACCTATCTTGAAAGGAAAAAATCGCCAGCCAAGTGTAAGACACGAACTCCCCATGAACAAAAGACTGTGCTCCCTCAGCAGACGTCATGAAACCTAAGACTGAGGCCTAGTGTTATAGCTGCTGTCTACTTATGGCAGAAAAATTATCAACCCTCATAAGAAACCTGAATTCATATCAACAAAGTAGACATTGGGAAACAGAAACATATCAAAAACAAACAAGTAGAAACTTGAACTTCAAACTGATATGAATTTGTGATCAAGATCAAATACAATAAAACAGGCAGATGAAGAACGTAAAACGCACGTGTATACACAAGAATGACAATAGAGAAAGTGAGGATTGTGTTTCAAGGGTAGAGGGAGCTACCCACACTAGTATAGAGGTCACAGTGGGATTAATGGAGGGTGGTCACTTGAAGCTGTAATGATGCAAGAAAGATAGGGGTATAAAAGATGGGTGTACTTTTAAAAAGTTTACCAATGCCTAGAGGTTAAATGAAGGATGAGATAGTACCATTTCAGAAAATAGCAATATAGCTAAGCTTATACTTTTGTGAAAACAAAGTGTACTGTAAGACTAACATAAATGCTAGCGACTCATAGTGTCAGCTAGTTTTCGGTAAAATCTTACATCAGACAATCATGAAGTAACCTCATTTAACAGTTACAGCATTATTCAGCCAAAATATTTCCCATTTTATATTTTTTTAAGAGTGTGTGTAATAATAATATTTAATGTTTTTTTTGTACTTAAGCTACAATATATTGCTACTACCAAGGCTTTTTGTCATAACGAATTGTGTATTTTCTTTTAAATTAACAGATTTGACAGAGTCAATTAGAAACAACTTCATAAGTTCAGCAGGTACACTGTGACCCATATCTGTTGATTATGTCCGTCATCTATTCGTGAAATAGTTACGTATTGATGTAAACTGTACAAATTTTCCATAATGTACTGACAAAAATGTATAAATTCAAGGTACAAGTAAAAATAAATAATGAAAAATTTTTGAAAACTTTTCATGGTATTTTTAAACGTTAAAAAAATGTTAATCTCGTTCTGAATATAAGTACTTCAAAAGCAATGTACGAAAAGATATAGAATAAAAACAAGTACTTTAAAAAATTACATATTAGTTACTGAAATATATGTAAAATTATTTAACAGAAGTAGTAATTTACATTTGTACAGAAAAAATTACTTTTGGGAAACTAGATCAAATATCGTGAGCAACAAAATTTTAAGTTTTTGTTTTTAGTATTTACTCCGTTATCTCCTTATAAATTCACAACATAGCCGTAATATTTATTTCTCAATTACTCACATTAATACAAGTGGAGATCCATAGCCTGCATAGCACAGATGCAAAGCTGTAGTAATTCCAGATACAGTACTGGCTCCAAATATATTAAGACATTCCTATTAAAGTGAAAAATACATTTGACAACTGTTATATTACTTTATATATGATACTTTAGGAATAACAATCCATCCATTCTCGATTTTTCAATACTCTGAAAGTTTAACCAATTACTTTACATATCTTACTGGATCATTCTGTAATAGTAAACGTTAAAAAAGAAGAAAATTTTCATAAAAATTCATCCGCCCAAAAAAGTAGTGCAGAGCCGATACTAAAAGAATTGCTTAATAGTATCAGATGTTGATTCAATAAAAGAAGTACAAAAATCTTACTACTTTTGGTTCACCAAAAGGATTATGGGAAAAAAAACAAGCTAACTTGATGATCATTTCCAGTGGCTGAATAAATGAAACTACAGGTTTTTAACATTTATCTCGTTAATATGTTTAACTTTCAGATTACTGCTTCCTTTATGTAATGTTTGCTGTTGGCGAGGGAAGAGAAGGAGTTCTACATACTGCATTATATTAATTTCATTATTTTGCCTGATGCAGCACTCAGTATAGAGAGCAAAAGAAAAACAGTGTAAAATCACTCATTTTCTGTATAAAATTTACAGGGACCCTAGCAGTAATTTATGAGATGAACTGAAATATTGACTGTACACTTACTTATATTTTCCAGTGTGACTCAGTGAGCCCCATTGCTAACTCTAGGGGTGAAGTTTGATCTTGACTGATTCATATTGTTCAATGTCAAATCCAAATTCGTCATGAAAGTAATTAACTTTAATTATCTGAACTTAAAGAGAGTGGACAGACCACTTTTTAAACATGCTTCGAAGAATATAATAAAATGAGTAGATAACAGAATACTAATCAATCCAACAAGGTCACCCATTAACCATAAACTCTTAATGCTTGGAGACAGCTTGAATGGGTAATGAAGAAAAACTTTAATATAAGTTTAACATAACAGCAAATGTACAACGTTTCGTCATCATCAGGTACTGTAAGTCTAAACGTTTATCTTTGTTATTCCATGTATAACTT